TTAGTATAGAAAGGTCATGTTAAGAAGACTTAAAGATATAAATAACAAGTTCACTTGACAAGAAATTATGACGTCTTTGACTAGTATTCCCATACAAATAGTATAGAAAGGTTATGTTATGACGTCTTTGACTCGTATCCCTTTACAAATAAAAAAAAGTAAAGAAAAGTTTATGTTATGACGACTTTAAAAAAAGTAAATTACTATATTTCAATAGACTGAATGTCATCATGCCTGCCCCGTTGATTTTTCTTATTGAAATAAGGGCGAGAAACGAACATACAGTCCATCTGATGATAAGTGGATGCTGTGACCCACAGGCATCTACATTTATCCTCGATTAAGAATCAAAATTCAGATGCGTCGTCACCCCTGAGGACTAAAACGGAATGCTTCGTTTCCAGTAAAAGGGGTCTCCGGTTCTCTACACTCACCATACGAAACACAGGCATTAAGCTGCTATTTACGCTGATATAGTTACTCATACACGGTACTCGAGCTACTTGCATCCACCCATCTCCTGCACGTTTCATCAGGTCCTAACTCTATATAATGGGGAGTCGCCTAACACTATGCTCAGTGCTTACCAGTACTAGAATCTGGAACAGTGTTTCCATGTTTTCAAGTTTCCAAGCAATAGCTATTTATTTTACTTATTTTTAATTCCCGACCTGTATGTCTTGCAACGCCCGTGATCGCTGAAGTTACCTTCAGCTATTAAATATTAATTTTGGTCTGATGACACAGAGAGAGTGATCTTTACGGGTCTTGCAGTGGTTTACTAAGGATTGGATTTAACATTTTTATTTATACGAGTACATGGAAGTGGACTCCACGATACGGGAGAAAATCCAATTGTTAGGGTAACGTGTTTTAGATGTTTTATTTTTATTTTTATAGAATAAGGGTCACAAACGAGCACACAGTCCACATGATGGTAAGTGGATGTTGTGGCCCATGGACGTCTACATTTGTCTCTATTAATAATTATTACAATAAACTTGTTGAAGAAATCTTGATAATTTCCTTTATCCTGTCCATCGCCATAATTGTGCTGCTTAGTCAATGGAATTTTATAACAATTACAAGTGTAAATGAGGTGCCTGAAACCTATACTATATATTCCTATACGAAATAATCATTGATAATAATCTTAATTTCGCGTCAAACGGAGCAGCGGTCGAGAGTTGCCGAACCGCGTCGGAGAAAGCCGAACGCGTGACATCTCGTCACTCGTTCGTCACGTCACGGCGTTCCGCAGAGGGTTACCAGATGTTTAGTAGATTACGGTACATTCCTCTATTGAATATCTTAAACTTATGACGGATAATAAATTAATAACACTTTATCATTAGCAACTATTCCACTTTGATTATTTGTTTTTGTATCGGTCTTAATAACACGTTTTTCGTTCGTTATTGGACTTGGTGAGATAATTTTCAGGGTGTTATTTTTACGTATGTAAGTGTCGTCATACTTTGTCTAAGAAAATCAGTTTTGTAGCCTTTTCACAGAAAGCAGGAAGACTGTTTCAAAATTTACTAAACCATAACTATTTAGATTTTAGATTAATGATTAAAACAACGTTAACCTACTAAACTTGGCGATTATAAAAGAAAGATAACAGACATGAAAAAATATCAGATTGATTTTGAAGATGCTGGTGATGATTTCCTCCGTTATTCTGTACAAGTCCCGCAAATTTAGAGCAGCGATCTGGTGACATTAGATAAGGAACATCAACATGTATCGTTCTCTTTCCAAAGTGCATTCGAAATTCAAAATCGATCACGCCGATACGATAGCACAAGTAATTTTTTTCACCGGGCCCGAATGCACGGCGCGTGTTCAATGCAGCCGGCATCCCGCGGGGCCGCATCGCACGTGTCCGCGCTGTTTACGTGTTGTGGCCGGCACGCCGAGCGGCGCTAGCTAGTGCGGAGTCATTGACACGCCAGCGTGACATACATTCCGCGTCTGACGGAACGCGAACACGTCGCTTTTCTCGCTGATTCTTTTTTTATTACCCTGTCGCAGTCTTACCGCGCTGTCTATTTCTAATTTATCGTTTCGCACATTTTATCAGTGTGCCGCGTACGACGAGCAGTGTGCGCCGCTCTGCGCTGTCGGTGTACCAGGCTGCAATAAGCTCAAGGCGATCTCGGGATCTCGCTGTTTGGACTTCCTTCTGCGCTTGTGACATTATTTATTGTGTTTTAAGTGTGCTGTTGCAATTTATGTGCAAAATATTCTTAAAAATTGTGACGTGTTAGAAATGTGGTTTGGTGATAGTATTTGAAATTTAAACTTAATTAGATTCTAATAAGAATGGACTAAAGATTATTTTATAAATAGTAGTTAATAAAAATGATAAGTTTTTAAATTTTATAGTTAAAATCTCAGGGACGCGGACGTCATGATTGCACGTTAGAAGTACACTGCTTTGCCACCAAGTTGGCAAATTGACGCGTTGTAATTTCACGGACATTTCAGTTATTTATAGACTTACTGTTTGATTTGTGTACTGCGCGACGCTCACCTACATATCTAGTGGCGTCGTAGAACGGAATGTACATTATATACATCTTGCACTATGTGGACATTTGTATGTACAGCGGATATAACAATATCACCGTTGTTGGCACTGTGTGCGTGCCGGCGTAATGAGCGCCTATGTGCTAAGAAACAGTAAAAAGTATGGCGCGCAAGGCCGGAGTGGCAACATCGCGCGCACCGAGGCTTTTCCGCAGCGAAATCGTCTTTTTCATATTTTATGAATTATGCATTTATAAACGGTACAAAAACCGATTTGTAAAATCAAATATAAGTTTTTTATCTTCCATTCGAATATTCAAATGAAATGTTGGTCGTGCTTTAGTTTACGGTCGCACGCGGAGGGGGGGTGGGGAGGTGGTTGGTTGGTGGGGGGGTAGTGGTGAACCCCCCCCTAAAAGGGGGGGATGCGGAAACGTATAGTTTCTGAAATATATCAAAAAATCTATCCTAACCTATAAAATATTGATATTGATTAATTTAATATGGTATTTGTTTAAATCAAGTGGGGAGGAGGCTCTAATCTTCTCTCTACCCCGTCTGACGCTTTACATTCGACCTTCTTACTTACAGGGGTTCGATTCTGGGGCTGATCTACGTTCAACGGACTCAATTCTTACCAAACCTGACGAGTCACCAGTTTTGTTCTGGCATATATATATATATTATATATTATATAGAGAACTATGTAGGCACAAATAAAACAAAAGAGCCAATACGCGAACGCGTTCATTGACTTTGTATCTGTAATAACGTAGTTCTATTACAACGACTGATATCATTATGCATACTAAGTATCGTTTACTACTATATAAGAAATTTCAGTAATCTATTTATATACTCGTAAGGACTATAATTATTTGATATATTTGTTATGTAGTTATATGTATATTACTGATATCTAAATGTTTCTAAGAACTTTATTTACCATGAATTAATAGGAATATAATAGGAGGATGTGCTAATCGAGCAAAAACACAATAGATCATATGTTATTAATGTGTGTGTTGCTTGTATTAATAATATGTTATTTTGTACACTAATTTTTAAAAAATACTTCCTGATTGCCTAACAATTCTGTGATAATAGAATAAAAAATGAAAAGAAAAGTTACTTCTGTAACATCTTCGGCGCTGCGGGAAGTGCAGCCCCTTCGCCCTTGCGTAGAAAATCGCAGTCACCCATGCTCACCTCCGCAGCTTCGGCTTATTGGTCGCCTTCGGCGACCAGCCTCAGCCGCTACGGCTCGCACGGGTGACTGCGATTTTCTACAGCGGGCGGGGGCTGCTCTCCCTCCGCGCCTACGGCTTTACAAAAACACTCTAGGGGTAGGGCAGACAAGACTACGTGGAGTCGGGGTGTGCTAATTCGGTTTTAGAATCTGTCGAAATGATTAGAACAATTATCTAACTAGCCGTGTTTTCGCGATTACCCTAGATATCTGTTCATCATATTATCCTACGACATGTTATAAAGTACACGCATAAAAGTTATATTTAACTATTCCTAGTAGTTAACCTATAAAACTTAAAAAAATTAATTTCTCGAAAACTATAAGTTTCCGCAGAAAATCCTTCTAGCATTTACTTCAATGACCTGTCACCTACCTATTAAAATTAAAATTATCACGAAAATCGTGCGACCGTAAACTAAAGCACAGCCCTTCGTATTATAATTATTGATAAAAACTTCATATTTCACAAAAATAGCGAAAGTAAGTAATAAAAATGTTAAAACCGATGGTGACCTTTTCGAACGCGCCTCGTTCCTAGCACGGCCAGCTGACGCGGTGTTGCCGCTCCGCCACCACTAGAAAAGTACCTATGATCTTATCGCCTCTAAGTCTTTTATATAGAGGCTTTAATCGCTTGACACAATCAAGTATATAAAGGATTTAGGACGTTTCAATACAAATTGATGACACTTCCCGCGCGAAAAATTGGAAATGCTTTTTATCAGTCGCACGAGTTTCGTCGTAGATTTTGACGTCGTAGTGGTGACTCATTTATTGTTGTCGTTTTGTTTTTTATTCTAATTTAGAAATAATTAAATTAGGTTCCTTCTGTTAAATTACTTAATAATGTTGTGTTTATAGTTTTCCTTTAAGTGATTATTTAAATTTTGATCGTGAATGAGTTTGCTGAGTGATAATTATTATTGACAATGTTAGATAGGTATATGGACCTGTAAATTTTAAACCAAAAATTGAAATTTAACCAAAGCATCCAAAGATCGTCCAAAGATTATTGTTATTAGAAAAGTGATTTAATTATTTTATTAAAAATAAAAATACCAAAGAAAATATTTAAAAACCAAAAAAATCTTTAATACTGAAAAAAAAGGACAAACAAAGGAGTGGTGTACCAGGCTCGCATAGATCGCGAGCGGCAAACATACACTCGTACGTGTGCTAGAAGGAGAGATGGCGCGGTGACAAAGTGGCCTACATGCCGGTGGCGCTGGGCTCGCTCGGCGGCGAGGGCGAGTACCGCGAGTACGGCCACCATCTCTCGCCGCACCACCCCCCGCATCCTCCGCCGCACCTGCAGTACCATGAGTACGCGCCACCGCCGCCGTCGCTCTACCATCCCATACCGGATCCATACTTCAGGTACGCTTCCGTCGGCCTATGATTGCCTGGTATATAAGCTCGAACTAGGGTACAGCTTTAAAGATGCTACTTACCTACCGGAAAGTACTAGAAAAATGCGACTCAATTTCTTTCGTAAATCTTCGCTAAGCAGCTGGCAGCAAGCAGGCTTCTAAGTAATTATTATCAAAGTTTTTTTATAAATACAAGAACGACGTTCATTTTATAAACTACTTTAGGGGCCTATGATTCTGTGATACATACAGTCGACTATAGTTTGCCCGGTAAATGTCTATATATAAAATCAATTGTTTTTTGTTAGTCTCGCTGAAACTCAAAAATCACCTGTGCGAAGCCTGGCCGGATCACTAAGTTCGTTAAGAAAACACTGTAAGCCACAATTTTGCCGAATATAATAAGACAAAACTTTTTAGGCATTTATTTATCTTTAAAAAGAAAAATAAAGTAACCATTAAAAAAATTCATACATCGTGGTGCTTAACATACATAAATCGCTCATTGTCAATCATCTAGACCCGGAACAATAGTTATTTGTAAGCAATATAAATACTTGTTCCGTGCGGGATTCGAACCTACTGCCCTTAACGCCGCAACTGAAGCATAGTCTATGCGTCACGGAGCCGTCAAATGTACGTGGTTACACTGTGCTACGAAATATCTTGTTTATTGCGTTCTAATAAAGATATACCTACGCCAAATTTCTTAAGTCCTGGCCACTCGCCGTAAATTCCATAGTACGCCAGAGGCTAGTAAAGCAGGGCTGATACCCTCGTGCTGTTATTGTTTTTTATAGAATTATACAGAATACTAGCGTAAAATAGCAGCTTAAGGCTCCTCTGTTTCGTATGGTGAGTGGGGAGAATCGGCGACCCGTTTTACCGGATATGAGGCATTCCATCTTAGTTCACGTGGGTGACAAGTAACAACGCATCTGCATTTTGATTATTAGTCGAGGATAAATGTAGATATCTACGAACCACAGCATCCGCTTACCATCAGGTGAACAGTGTACTCGTTGGTCACCCTTATTTTATAAAAAAAGAAAACTCCCAAACAGAAAAGAAACCCAACTATCTAATAAACTGTGGACTTAATTTACTGATTTGGAATGTTTTTGGACGGACATCAGTTGGTGGTCAGATACTCGTCTGTCGTTCAATCGGATGCACCAAATGGAGTTGAGCTACAAATTTGGAGAAAAAGTTAGTTCCCCTTTATTCCAATACCACCTATTTTCAATTAACCATGTATAATGTGTGTTAATTGTATAACCCTGTATAATGTTGCTATAAGAGACGAGAATGGCTATATTCTGAATGATGAAGTTTTGAGTTTAAAGAGATGGAAGGAATATTTTGAAAGCGTGTTTATGAGTGAGGAGACAACGTGTGTACTAAGTGAAGTAGAAACTCCGATCTGACGTAGATAAGTATAGATGAAATAATGAAAGCAGGTAAGGCTGCCGGATACGATAGAGTTTCACTCGAAATGCTAAGGGCTGGAGAGGAAGTGGTGGCAGGCCTGCTGCAACTTGTTTAATGTATGCTGGGAACTGAAGCGGGTACCGGTAGACTGGTGCAAAGCCGTGATAGTCCCAGTATATAAAGGAAGAGGGTCGCAGCAGCACTGTAAAAACTACCGTGGCATCAGCCTTCTTGGCATTGTGGGAAAACTGTGTGCTAAAGTACTGATTGAAAGGGTCATGAAAGAAACTGATGGAAAAATTTGGGAAGTGCAAGCGGGATTTAGAAAGGGAATGGGATGTACAGATCAAGTCTTTTCCATGCGCATGATCGCGGAGAAGTTTCTGGCCAAAAACCAAAAGGTTTTTTGTGCGTTCTTGGACTTGGAAAAGGCCTATGACAGAGTGAATAGGGATTTGCTATGGCAAACACTGAACTCATTTGAGTTGAGCGCTGGCTTGATACGGGCATTGCAGTCTCTTTATAGGGACTCTAGTGCTTGTGTTAGGATCAACGGGGTCTACTCGGACTGGTTTGACATCCATAAAGGTGTCAGACAGGGCTGTGTGGCTTCCCCGTGGCTGTTCAACCTATTTATGGACAGTTGTTTGCAAAATTTGAAAGTTGAAGAATGCGGATTAAGAATGGGTGAGTTAACCGTCAAATGCCTTTTGTACGCCGATGATCAAGTTATTCTTGCGTCGTCGGCGGCCGAGTTGCAAATGATGGTTACATTAATGAGCGGATCATTAAAAGAAAGGGGTATGAAAGTGAACGCAAGTAAGACGAAGGTTATGGTTTTTGAAAGAGAAGAAAATAAAACGATTTGTGAAATAAGAATAGAAGGGGAGTTGATCGAGCAAGTAGATGAGTTTGTATATTTTTTGGTTGGGTATTTAGCAGGGATGGGAGATATGATAAGGATATTAATCGACGAGTGAATGCGGGAAATAGAGTAAATGGGGCCTTGCACTCTATTGTGAAGAGTCAAAATGTGTCGAAAAAGGCACGTATGGCAATTCACAATGCTGTGTTGGTCCCTACTTTAACGTATGGTAGTGAAAGTTGGGTGTGGCAGAAGAAGCACGAGAGTAGAATAAATGCAGTAGAAATGCGGTCGTTAAGGAGTATGTTAGGGCTGAATCTGAATGACAGGGTAAGAAATTGTGTAATAAGAGAAGAGTGTGGTTTGCAAGATGATGTTGTGACCAGGATTAAGAAAGGAATGCTTCGGTGGTTTGGTCATGTGGAAAGAATGAATGAGGAAAGAGTGACAAAGAAAATTTATGGTGCAGAAGTGAATGGCAGAGTCGGAAAGGGACGTCCTAGGCGAAAATTTATCGACCAAATTGGCGATTTATTGAAAACGGGCCAAATTAGGAGTACCCTTAACCGACGAGCATGTATGCGTAGGTATATGGATGTGAAGGAGGCAAGAGAGGTGTGTCAGGATCGTGCCGAATGGAAGTCCGTAGTCTCTGCCTACCCTTCTGGGTGACAGGCGTGAGTGTTTATGTATGTTACGTATAATTGTATGTCAATAGTGTAACAAAAGGGACATTTAGTATCTTAATCGAATGGCTGTACTAAGTTAGGCTGTCGCAGAAATCCCAAAAAAATTTTTACAGAGTGATGTTTTTTTATAGGATAGGGTGTGACAAACGAGTACACAGTCGACCTGATGGTAAGTGGTTGCTGCGGCCCGTAGACATCTATTCTCGTTTGCGATTCAAAATGCTGATGCGTTGTCACCCGTGAGGACTAAGATGGAATGCCTCGTTTCCACTAAAAAGGATCTCCTGTTTTCTACACGAAACACAGCAGCATTAAGCTGATGTATCAACTTATTGTAAAATAATTATGTAAGTACGTACTAATGTCTCCCAGATCTAATTTTTACCACGGTAGGGCCGCGGAGACTATCCATTTGCGCACGACAGGATTATATTGCCCGAGTATATACACAAGCGCAAATGCACTCTCTATTCCCTCACTCTCATAACCCGATTGGACGGCAATACAGCACGACCGGAGAGAGATCAGGTGCACTAACGGCTTTACGCGTTTTCGGTCTGCTGCTAAGAATTTCTAGACAGAGAAACCTCGTTACTGATTTTGGCCCGACCCGGAATTCAAACATTGGACTACATGGGCAAATGTCGCGTTTGTGACCATTAGACCAAGTAGGCCGTCAAAAGTACATCAAAGCAAACAACGAGCATATAATAGATAACGGCTAACAGCGTTTCAAGCATTCAACTATACTTTTTAGGACAAAGGCCTTGTAGCCACAACAATTGAAAAAAAAAAATCTAGTTCAGCTATTGACGGGAACAGGCCAACAAGAAGATTGTAATCGTAACCTTATTTTCATACATAATCTTGTTTGTTGTAAAGTCATTTCTGTGGTTCGCCGTAATCGATACGATGGCAGAAGAATTTATATACCTACGTCGCAGGTCTATGGAAAAAAATCGGGGTTTTGATTAAAAATATTGGCTTTTGATCAAGAAAAGCCAAGGTATTTGATCAAGTACCGAAAGAAGACAAAATTACTACTTAATCTAATCATAAACCCGAAAAAGTCCTATTTTTTGACCAGAAACCTGAACTTGTTTAAGTTTAAGGATAAAATTTAAGCTTAAGTTACGTTATCTAATTGTTTTATTTAAATAAAGAAATAGTAACCGACGTTGAATTTATCATAAAACTAAATCAGTCTAGGTTTTAGATCAAAAAACTGAATTTTGTCTCCTTCCAATTCTTGATCAAAAGCCTAAGTTTTTGGTCAAATACCAGGTTTTATCATAAATCTGTGCGACATATACATAGCAAAATATGTACATGTAGGCCTCCACCGTAGATTGTCTCACAGGGTATATTTGCCTTATTTGCCCACGCTTGGCGGAATCGGTTCGACCGCGCTCTCACAGAATACCAGCGTAAAATAAGAGCTTAACGCTCCTGTTTTCGTACGATGAGTGTAGAGAACCGGATACCTTTTTTTACTGGAAACAAGGCATTCCGTCTTAGTCCTCACAGGTGACAACGCATCTGCATTTTGATTCGTAATCGAGCATAGATGTGAAGATGTCTATGGGTCACAGCATCCATTTACCATCAGGTGGATTGTGTGCTCGTTTGTCACCCTAATCTTATAAAAAGCTGCAACCGCAGCTTTTTATTGTTTTCAATTGTTATCAGGATAATACTGCTGCTCATCTTTTACTTTGTATCCCTCTGTCGAATCTTACGACACCCACATAAACATATAGGGTATTGGATATTCTTACACAACAACTACACGGCTGTATCATCATCATCATCATTACAGCCCTTCACAAGTCCACTGCTGAACAAATGCCTCCCCCAAGTAATGCCACAAAGCACGGTCCTGAGCCACCTGCATCCATCGACTTCCTGCTTGTCTTACCAGGTCGTCACTCCATCTAGTGGGGGGTCGCCCTACAATATCCCCCCATGAGCAACGACGCAAACACGGCAGTATACCTTAAGCCGAATATTTTATGCTGATAC